TTCTACAAAATGGATAAGTGACAAGACTTTTGTCAGGGACTGTATGTGTTATGTGGATCCCTGTTTCAGAGCATGTTGTTGTGACAGAGGAACTGTTACCTCACTTTTAACGGCCCACATAACACTATTTTCTGATCTCTGTTCTAATGTTTCCTCATCACAAACAGACCTGGAGTTGTGTTTTATTTCATTCACATGTTTGACACATGAACACTGCAGATTGGCAGCGTCACTGAACTTTATGAAATAGGTTTACAAAACTGGAGGGATGCTTATTTCACATATGAAAATGAGCTGTGCTGATTATTTCTTGATCAGAATGTTACAATTTGTTTATGATCATAGTGTTAGTGAATGTGTACAAGAATCTAGACTGAAGACAAAGTGAATCTCCCTGAGAAAACTATACTATACTGATGAGAACATCACTTTATTAAAGAAAGGAAAACAATGTTTGTAAAAGAAAAAGTTGACTGCATATAGCCTCTTAAAGCAGCAGTATGCAACATGGACTCTTTTAGTTTTAAAGAAGGTAGTAGAATCACAACTGAACCTGTGTCCCCAGAGCCTCAACCTACACACAGAGACACATCCAAGTTTGTCTCATTCTCAGTTTATGTTCAGGCCTCATGTGAAGCTCAGAACCTCCAGAATTCCCTCCCTGAGCTGCAGAGGCTGCACTAGCACTGATTCATGACTGGCGCATGTGCTGGGGTTTAGATAGAGACCAGGAGATCAGACAGAGTTTGGGATTTTAGCAGAGAAACTGACAACCCAAATGAGAGACTCATGAGGCTCATTCTGCTCTCTGATAATCGTCTGGAACCAAAACACCACATCAGAACATAAACAACTTGGCCATTTTGTCCAGTGTTTATGAAGATTAAATCACCTGTATACCTGTAAAAGATTTGAAAATGTTTGCTTCATATCTGGGGCCACAGAGAGTCTATGGAATTAAAAATCGAAATCTTACATACCCTTAGTTTGAAACAGGTCCACAGTGAAACTAGCAGAACCGACTTGTACCTTTGCAGATGGAAGTACAGAAAACACAAAACTGTATTTGACAGAGAGAATAAAAAGGCTGGATTCTACTTTCCGAAATCTATACAGTCCTCCATGTGGCCAGCAGAGAGCACCAGAGACCTTATATACAGTTTTTCTCCGTTGGTTTGGATAATTTCTTGAAACAGAAATGACATTCTTAAAACTATAAGATCATTTGGCCAAACAGTCTGATAGTTTTGCACAACATGACAGTTCACCAACAAAAGCTCATATCTCTCCCAAAACTGTTCACACAAGCTTCAGCGCAGATTTCTTTCCAATATAAAAGTCAGGAGCATCAAAACTGTAAAGATCCTTCTTTGTTGCGTTGGCTCTTTTACATTCACCTAGTGCTTTGGTCAAAATAACCTGGATGATTCAGCACAGCAACATGGATCACCTGCAGAAGCTCAGATCTGTCCCAAAACACTTTACCATGTGTCCAAACTAAACTCCTCTCTCATATAAAGAGTCATTGTCCCCAAAATGCATCGTCCCTTTGGCCTCATGTCACTGCAGCTCAAAATGACTCCATGTTTTGTCACTATGACAGAGTCAAACAAACACAATACAATTATGAATAAAACTGAAAAAAGGATTTCACAGTAAAAGCCTCCACAGTTTGACACCACACACACTGCACTAGTGGTGGCAGTAGCTCCATGAGCATCTTTAGATGGAAGTGAACCAGGCCTGATGAGTCACAATGGAAATTCACATCATCCCACATGATCACATAGTGTGAAAGGAAGTTTTAATTTCACCTGACTGAGAATTAATTAATAAAAGCATTTATCAAATGCTCCAAAAATCTGATGGCTTAAACAATGAAATGATGTTGACATGTTTTGGAGAGAAAAATCATAAGACTGAGAATCAACTCATCAGTTTAGATCAGCAAGATCGATTTATTTGTAAAATGTGCTAAATGTGGCTCACTGTGCAAACTGTAAGCGACTTGTACAGAACCATGTGCAAAGATGCACTGAGACACTTGACACATGAACTAAGACATTTACAATTTGATGAAATCAATGACAAATGTCATTCTGTTGTGAACGACTGCAAGGTGCTTTGGAGATTTGTCCATGTTGTTTTGAGAATGTCATTTCTGTTTCAAGAAATGAGCCAAACCAGTGGAGAAAAATTGTAATACCCAAAGAAGTAAATCCCCCTCTGAAAGTCTTTATCATGGAGCACAGACGAGTGTAGGAATGTGTGGAGTGACGTCAGAGACTGAAGCTGCACAAACTCCACACAACTCACATTTACACTGAAATAATATGAAATAGATGTGTGAGAGGCTCTGAAACGAAATATTTTTACAGTCCAATAAATATTAGCCAAACATAAGAGTGGAATGATTAAGAAATAAAAGAAGAATAAATACATTGAAAAAATATATGATTCATAAATCAGCGAAAGCCTTTAAATCCATCTTTCATGAACAAATGTGGCCATATTGTACGATCATTAAATGTGTGTCTCACATGATGAGAGTGGACATGGGACTAACTGCTGCTGTGTTGTGTTTTCTCTCCATCAGATTTCTGTGATCTCACTCTGGATCCAAACACAGCTCACAGAAACCTCAAACTGTCTGACAACAACAAGAAGGTGACACGTGTGACAGAAGAGCAGCTGTATCCAGATCATCAGGACAGATTTGACTACTGGCCTCAGATTCTGTGTTCCACTGGTCTGACTGACAGTAGGAAAAGACGTGATGCTGATTGTGCATTTGGACACAATGATCCGTCCTGGAGTCTGCGGTGTTATAAAGATGGTTTCTCTGTTTGGCATAATAAAAAACAAACCTGCCTCCCTCAGCCCTGGTCCTCCTCTTCTGGGAGAGTAGCAGTGTTTGTGGACTGTCCTGCTGGTTCTCTGTCCTTCTACACAGTCTCCTCTGACCAACTGACCCACCTCCACACCTTCAACACCACATTCACTCACACTCTGCTCCCTGGGTTTAAGCTCTGGACTGAAGACTCTTCAATGTCTCTGTGTTCTCCGACAGAGTTTGTCTCCTCAATGTAAAACAGTGAAATGTGAAAATATTTTTCATATATTTTTACATTATTGAACAAAAAAGTGATATTATTTGTAGAATTTGACAGAAAAATCCTGTAGACATGAGCCTCACTTCAGTGTCTGGATGAAGATAAATGTGTAGTGTGAAAGATATGTGTGGGTGTTATATGTGTACGGGACCAGAACTGTATACAATGTCATCAAATATTTGAGAAAACTCTCTCTCTGTTTCATCTGACTCTCAAGTGTCCTTGATTCAGGGACTAAATCACTTCAGCTCAAAATCAGGTGAAAAAAGACAATTATTTTGGTTGGTTCATTAAAAGCAAAATAAACTTCAGTTCTGTCACTGGACCAAAGTTTCAGATGCATACAGAGATGGAGACATGTGAGCAAGAACTAATAATAAAGTGTTTAAATAGTCTGAAAACTCAAGAAAAAACCCAAAAGTGATTCCTCTCTCTCTCCTCTCATTCAGTCCATATTTCATTTCTTCCATTCCTGCTGTTTTTGCTGCTGTGTGACTGTGAGCGGGGTCGCCTCTCCACAGATCTGACCTGTAAGCTGGCCTGGTAGAGTCACCTGCTTGTTTCCATGGGGATGTGTAACTGTGATGACATACTTAGTTTTACTGCTCAAACATATCTTGAAAAAACATATGTGACTGTCAGTGCTGTAGTGTTAGAGGAGCCAAAAACTGTCCTCAAGTTAGAGTCACGTTACTTCAGAATAATATTACTTAAGTAGAAGTAGAAAGTAGAGGTCCAAGAAATGATCAAAAGTACAGTAGTACTACTCAAGTCCGAGTCACTTAAAGAGGAGTGTGGGGACTGTTCTGGAAATCTTTCCATCAGTGTCTTTTCCTGGTTCTAGGTTCATCATAAATGCTCCATCAGATGTCGACTGTTAAAAAGGTTATTTTTGTTAGGAAAGACAATCATCTTTGAACAGAAATGGAGGCCTCAAACATCATGTCTCTCATTTACAACTCTGTACAGAAACTGTAAACAGGTGAGGTGTTAGTTTCAGTGTCGTAGTTCCTCTCTGCAGACAGATATAAGACAGTGTCCACCATCATCTGACCACAACTGAAGAAGCAGCTTGGATGAGCTGAGAAATATTCGACCAAAATAAACTTGTCCAGTTGACCAATTAAATTTTTCCTTATGCCCTGGATTCTTCTACGTTGGTGTCTTGTTGTAATCTGAACTGTTCTCCCACGTACAACACTCTGTCCTTGTGTCTGTTGTTTATATCAATCTGAGCTTGTTCTTCTCCTGACTGTTGAGCCAGCCTTGTGTTGACCTGTTCTCTGATGAGACTAGGTCTTATCTTATGTGTGTGTATCATCCCTGTGCCTTATGCCCCCGTGGGGTAGAAAGACTCTGTCTGTATTGTTCTGTCACAGTTTAGGACAGACGACTCTGTCAGGAACAGGGAGTTTTGGGATTGTGTGCACAATTGCTTCAATAAATCACACTCCTTGAGTACAACTTTTCACTTCTTTTTTCATGTTTGAAGTCTAGAAATTCCACAACAGGATGTTACATCTAAATAATAATCTGAAGTGAATGTAATCTGAAAAAAACATGCAATAAATCCTGAAATCTGGCGTTTTCAAAGGACAGACACAAATATGAGACAAACTAAATCAGATGTGAAGGAGCTGCAAGAAACATAAATGTTTAAATCATTTCATATTGTCACATTTAGACACTTTTGTCACTTTAGACTTTGTCAGTGTGAAGAGGAAGAGGATTGGCCTAAAACACATTAATGCACCTGCAGTGTTGTGGCGGCCTCTAGTGGTGACGCTGGAGACTGCAGCACAAACTATCTAAAACTGTTTCTCACTGACATCAGCTCTTGTGAGAAGAAACAGAATGATTATTCACAATTACTGACACCATGAAAAATAAAATCATTCATTTTATTTCATTCACATTGTCTAACACATCACTGTTCCTCTTGTATGTAACAGTTAAGTCTACTTATTACACTAGAATAGATTGAATTTAAAAAGTCTTCATTTTGCTTCAAAAATGGTCATGATGATTATTCTTAATTCTTACTATTATATTGTGAATTAAACTAATGATAAAGACAACAATAAAACTGGGCAGTAGACCTGTCATGATAAATACTGTCCACTTATCATTCACTACATGATAGATTAACTATTCTTTTTGGGAGTCAATATAGTCAGTAATTTTTCTTTGTACAAGTGAGAAATATTTGGATATATTTTGCACTTTTCTGAATATTTGAGTTGTAAAGGTTTGATTATGTAACTTCTATTAATTGTTCCATGTATTTATTTCAGCTCAGTTTATGAGGAAATCCTGCTTTAAGGTCGTGTCAGTGGTATAATGGCAATTAATATTATTTTCATCTCCAATAATTATATTTCAATAATTGTTATCGTGACAGGCCTACAAACCAGTATCAAACCAGGATAAGTTTAATCAGATGCTTCCAGGATAAAGAAGTCCTCGTTCTTATTTAACAGAATTCTTCCGTTTTTCTCCGTACAGCACTGAGGGTCTCGCAGCGTCCTCAGGACCCCGTCTCTGAGCTCTTGTGGGGCTGTCTTTCTAAAGTTCACCGTCTCTGTGAGGAAGTTTAGAATCAGCTCTCCGGCCTCGTTTCCTTCAGTGAAACAGTCGGTGATGTCCAGCACAGCCGGGGACTTATAGCTCTGGTACTGGATTCCAGCTTCGTCCAGCAGCTGCTTTATGTCTGCTGTGTTCCGTTCTGGAAACCAAGTACGAGTGCCTGGAGGGTTCAGCTGAGTGGAGAAGGCTTTCCACATCTTCACATAGCCAGACTCAGCTGTAACAGAACAAATAACACAAACACTCACAGTCACAATCAGCCTTCACTCCCTGTTTTTTGTTTTCTCCGTATGCACAGAGACATCCCCACGGAGCACATCTCAGCAGCTCAGCTCTTATTTTGGTAAATAATTTTTCTCTTTTAGGACTTTTAGGTCCAGGTTACCTGGATGGAGGTGGAGGATTATGGAGAACTTTACACAGTCTCGTTTGACCACATCTGTACACACACGCTCCACACTGGATATATACACCACATCTGGGAATTACGCTTTTAGTAGGATTGAGGGGGAGGATGTTGGTGGAGTTTGGTTCATGTTAGTCTGTGGACACAGCAGACTTTGACTGGATGTGGGTTTATCATTAGTCACGTCTCTGTAAAGGCTCCGCACTGGAGACTGGACGTGTTTTTGGGTGGATAAAAGTTTCACGCTGCACACTGTTTCTTCAGCTCTTCTGTTTTATTGGTAAGTGAACATCTGTTCTGTTGTTAAAGAACAGTTACATGGTTCGATCACTATGGGCTGCTGCTGGTCCTCTGGATCACTCTACACTGTGGAAGCACTCAGGTTCCACACTGTTCCACTACAACCTGGAGCTTCATCAAATCAAACACTTCACAAACAAATGAAGGATGAAGCCAATCCTCATGTTAAAGTAAATATTATTGTATTATTATATTATTTTATGATTATGATTAATGCACAAAATAGCAAAACAGAATGATGAAGTCTAAAAACAGAAGTGTAACAAAAGTGATTCATTAGAAGTGTTTTTAAAACTGTACTTTGTTTTTAATGTTGTTTTTCTGTTTGTATCAGGCTCTTGCACTTTGTGCCACTGTTGCACTGCCTCATTTATTCTTCTGCTCAGCTCAGATTGTCGACATCAGAAGTGAGCAGAGCACCTGACCTGTGTGAACTGGATGTGTGGTCTATAACTGGAGCCAGAGTTGATGGACCTGAAAAGCGCTCATGTTCACTTCCTGTTTGGAACATCGTGGTTAGCACGCTCATGATCTCATTTTATAAACTCATCCCTGTGTCAAAATCACCCACTGCTATGTAGAGAGATCTTGATATGTCTTTATTCCGTATTCTTCTTACCTGACAAAATACTGATCAGAATTTTGCCGTTCTTCCTGAGGAGGCTCTGGTAGAATCTGACGGTCGCTCCAGGATCCTCAACATAGTACAACATCTGTGAATCAGATACACAAATATAAGTGTGTATTATAATATAATAATATTAATATGTATGACGTAATACTTCTGTGGACTTTTCTGTAGATTTTTTATTTTTATTTTAGACTTTTGTCCACTGGCAACAGGCCCATAGTCATTCCCAAAGTAAAGACACAGTCATGGTGAGGCGTCTTTCTTACGTCTCTTCTTTCCTGTAGTTTGTCCATGAACGTGTTACTGGCACAAATCTGTAACGGTTAAGGCTAGAAAAAGAGGCTGAGCTTGTCTTTAGTGTAAAACAATGTCAACTTTTGTAAAGTTGCATTGAAAACTGCAGCCTTTGGCCGTGTTTTTGCATGGCTGCAGTTTGTTGACTTTTCAGGACGTGTGGATGGAGTCAGGTCATGTGTGGCTCGTCCTGTTGGAGTCAGATCCCTGCAGGTTAGATATGTCCTTTTAAATACAGTTTATGAATGTTTATTTCAAGATACTGATGTCATTTATCTAGTCTCCTCACCAGCAACATGTACAACTGCCACACAAAAAAGGACTAAGAACAGTAGGCGAGTCTGTTCAAAGCCCACAGCAAGTTGATTCAGAGCTTAGTTCCATTTTAAAGAACATGAACCTGTTTTTTTCCATGTGTTTGACAAAGATTTGCTTCCACCAGTACAGAGATATCGTATAAGCAGGTCTTGAGGTCAGTAGAAGTCTGTTATATGTGATCTGCATCTGCGTTAGTGCTTTTAACATGCTACTTGTTTCTAATTTTACCATCATGCTAACTCCATTCTAGTCTCATCTGAAATGTTTGAAACGTGCTCATAAACTCATCAGAGGGAATAATTAGGATGCTTGGAATGCATAAGGTAAGTTAGGAATAACTTTGGACCACTGAAAGAGTTTTAATGGTCACTAAACATTTAAGTTCAGTTTAATTAGCCATTAGCTCAGATGAAACTTTTGTACGCTAAAATAAAATCTAAAATAAAATCTAAAATAAAACACCAACAGTGTCACCTAAATGTGTTCAAGAGGTTGGTACCAGCTGATTCCTTCTTGATTATTCATAATTTGTGATTTGTGAGGGATAATGCTAACGCTAACTAGAGAAAAAGCTCTGAACTGAGTTCAACACATGATCAGTGTGAGATTTACTCTCACTGAAAGTGTTCAGAAAAACACACAGCGTCATGACTTCTGACAGTTAGATAAACCTGACTGATTGAAAACGTCACATCAGTGGAACATGTTGAAAATTCTAATGTTTGTTACATCCAGTGGAGAGAAAAGCACAGACATATTTCCTTCCACAAATGCACAAAAACTTTCTGCATGTTTTCACAAACTAAAGAGCATTGATGCTAAAATAATCTCTCTGTCAGCGTTGTCATGTTTGTTTTGGTTCACTGGGGCGTTTCATCTTTGGCTTCTGTCCAAACCTCAATGCTGTGACGTGACTGGTGCGACAGGGGAAGACAAGTGGTGGGCGTGACAAGATGAATCAATCAATCAATCACTGCATTTATACAGCACCAATCAAGACACTCAAAACACTTTACCCATCGTTATTCATTCAGTCCTCACTCTGTGGTAAGTTACTAGTGGCCATACTGATGGCATCTTTGTGACAAATGTCTGTGAAAACTTACTTACTTAAGTTTACTTACTTACGCTCTGACCACCACCATCACACAAGCATCCTTCACTTTCTTACTAGTCAATGTGGATGAAGAGTCTTTCATAAGGACACAGCGCCCCCCTGTGGTTCTCCCATCCAAGTCCTACCCAGGCCTGGCCTTTCTCAGCTTCTGAGATCTGATGAGATCAGGCTTTGACAAGCTGCTATAGCAACATGGATTCTTGTGAACCTTCCCCACTATTTATATGTTGATGACCACTGTAAAGGATCATTTGAGGTGAGGGCACATACATGGAGCATGTGGATGAAGTCAATCTTCTTGGTGATATTTCTCTGTCTCCACTGCTCCTCAAACTCAGAGGCCGTCATCTGGTTCCAGGTGAAGTTTACAGGGTCCAAGTGGAACATCTGAGCTGCCCTCTCTGCACCACACACAGAATTGAGAAGAACACAAATATTTAGATGTTTAAAGTGGGACTAAACACCTCAACTCGTCTCAGGACCACATTTCAAGCTGATAAACTGGCAGTAGCTGCTAGTCCTTTAAGGGAGAGTGAGGGGGGAGTAAGGACGAGGTCAGGGGGGTATAAGGAACAGTGTGATTGGTCTAACAGGTATCCACACTTCAAACTCTGTCCAACCAGGTTCTATTCAGGGCAGTCCAGTGTGATGTCACAAAGCACTTGAATTTGCTGGGGTCACACAAAATCTACAAATGTGCATAGTTTGGACTAAAATTGACACACAAAATAGAGCTGCACACAGTAGGTAAAGCTATTCAAACACAATGTGCACAGTTTAGTGCTTGATTCAGGGCATAATTCCACTTTAAAGACCCTGTACCCATTTTTTTGTTCATGAGTTTGTACAAAATTTGTCTTGCACCAGTACAGATATTGTATAAGCAGGTTTGAGGTCAGAATAAGTCTGATATATGCTGATATCTGTATAAGTGTGTGCCTATTGTGGGATTGTAATTTAAAATTGTGGATAAAATGCAATTTAATTGATTGACTGAATTGATTGACTGTTAACATGGTAACTGTTGCCAACTTTGCCATCACAGTAACTTCACTCTTGTCTCTGAAAATTTTTGAAATGTTCTTAAACTCTTGTAAACTCATCACAAGGAATCAGGATGTTTTATATGCACAGCCAAATGGGTGACAAACCCTCCACAACAGCCCAGTGTCAAAAACTACAGGTTTTACCGTTTTACCTGTCCTCTGTAAAAAAAAAAAAAAAAAAAGTCAACAATCAGGTCAATAATCACTGTGCTGCTCCTCCCTGTGTACTGCCTTAGGCCATTCAAGATACACACAGTGCATACAGGCACCACTGCACACAAGAATTAAGATGCTTGGAGTGAATAAATTAGGGATTATTTTGGACAACTGAAAACCATTTAAAAGAAACTAGTTCTGTTTTTTATTTTTTGAATCAGTGGCATAGCATTGTACTGTAAACACCTTTGAAAACAGTGAGACAGATTATATATTTCCTCTGTACCTTTGTATCTGAGAATCCGATGTGCGCTTGGCTCCACCACTTCGTTATCCAGCAGCACCCCTGGGTGCTTCCGACGCAGCTGGGAGAGCATCTCCATGTCTATATTACCTACAATAAAACAACATCATCACATTGGCTCTGTTCTCCTGCATTTAAAACTCTCAAAACCAGGCACTTATTCTGACTCAGAATGTGACAATATCACATTTGAGTGTGAAAAAACATCACTATTTAATTAATAATACTTCATAATATTTAATGATTGTTCACGATATACAGTTAGAGTGTAACACAGACATGTGATGAGCTCTTACCTTCTCCAGCCCCAAGTCCAATGATGTTTATCGATTTCCCATCCCCGATGCTACGAGACACAAAACAATTACAAACTACAATTTATCCATTCTTCAAGATGCTGGTCGGAGTCATTTTGGGGTCATGTCTTAATGACAACATTTTTTGTAGATTTTCAGCAGTTTTCTTATTGACAAAAATGTGCATTTATTTAAGAATTTTGATATGATCTTGTTTCATAGCACAAGTCTAAACACATAACTAATATTTATTAAAATGACTATTTAAGGAGAAATCCTTGCACAATGCTAATCCTAAGACTTAGGTTAAATAATAAATTCAGTTGTTAAGCAAGGTGTGACCCCCACCAAACAGAGACGTCATAGTAAATAAAAAGTACATGAGGTGTGACCAGCATCCATTTTCTTTTTTTAACAATAAAGACTTGTAATTGAATAAATGCAAAATATATTATAGTATTTAAAAATGTAATATTCGGTGTAACATTCTGGGTATATAGTGCAGACTGGGTACTGTGTATTTGGAGAGAAAAATAGTAACAATAAGAAAACAATAGAACATCCACCCCAACAAAATGACTTGTTTCTTCTTTTAACTGTAATTATAGCCACTTTTCCTTATGAAACTTACATTATTGCATAATGTAAGTTGCTGACTCTTTTCTTTTAGTGACAAGACTATTTTAAAACAAAAACATATATTTTAACAATTCGCTGTTCAATCGAATTAAAGACTAAATCCACTAGAACAGTGGAACTAAATGTACTTTGTTCACTACCAAACTGTAAAATGATGATAAATAATAAGCACAGGTCCCTTCAGACCAAGTCATACTTAGACAAACATGAAAAGCTCAAATGCATTTAAAGCCCCTCTCTAGCCCCTTGACCAAAGCCTTTACCTGGCCAGTTGTTCAGGCAGGATTGTGCGGATGAAGTCTTCTCTGGGCTGATGTCCACTTGAATGTACCTTATACACGGTCAAGGACTTATCATAACCATCGTCATCATCAACGAGGGACTTGAGAGGAGAAGCCATGGTGCTCTGTGCTGGGCTCACAAAGAAAGGCTGGAGCTCTTCTACAGACAACTCAGAATGTGTCAACATTTGTAGTCAACACTTTGTCACAGCCAACCAATCAGATGTGCTTATTTCAGTAACAGTGTGTAAACCTTTAACCAGAACACTGTCCTGTTGGTGGGTCAGCAGTAGTGGTCTGTCACTACCCATCTCCTCCCTCCTCCCTCCTGTTCCAAATCCAACAGGAGGCTCTCTCTGCTCCCACACTCTTTTCGTTCTCCTTTCTGCTCCTCTAAGGCTATGTCCACACGACAACACTCCTGGATTTTTTCTTTTATGATCTGAAAAAATTTGCGTCCACACACGTGTTGGATTGAGAAATATTCACATCCAGACGACAACGGAGCACTGAGTGAAAACTATGAAATACATCTGCCACACCTGTATGTGGCGCTGTTAACAAAGATAATAATATTTAAAGGGATAGTTCAGGATTTTTGACATAATTCTGTATGTCACCCTCTGTATGAGCAGTGTCGTGCATCCACACTGACTTACCCCCGACAGCGTCCGGTGAACCGAGATACTGGCCATTTTCAGTGCTGGTGAAAGTAGTCCGGCAAGTTGGCTGGGGACATTAAAATAAGTGTTTTTCTTCTCAAAACAATCTGTGTTCAAAAGAGTGATACATTTGCATCACAAAACCATTGTCCTCAAAAAAGTCAGACCTCATTATCGCTTGGCACTATTTTCTTTCCGTTCGTATCACTGCGCGCTGCCGCCAGGTGACAGCCGTGCCTGGTTCACTTTGTTTACTGCTCGGAATGTTAGCGACGACATGTCTGATTACAACACCGACAATAAAGACTTTGCCTTTACCACAAAGTCAAGGGGAGATCTTTATGAACCTGAATATACTGATGCTGAATTTCACCAGATGGAGTTAGAACGAGCAGAGAGAGAAGAGAGACAGAGAAGTGGTACAAGTTGAAGCTGGAGCCGTGAGAGACCGAGTGAGCGACAATCACCATCACATCATTTATAAACATGTATACAGCGAACATAGAGCCGACACTGTGACTGAAGCATGGACGACTAATAGAAACATGGAATCATCCACACGTCCACGTAGCTGCTGCCAATAGTGTACGCCACATTTACAATAGTGATAACAGTCGACTTATAAAGTTATGTTTTGTAGAAGCTTCACTGGTGATATGACACTGAGTGATTTACTGCACACAGAGTTACAGCTGATTCTTGAGTCTGTTCTCTTGTAAACATAGCGGCACTTCTTCGTTCTTACCTGGTTTGGTTTCCACATTGAAGCCAAAGGCAAGAAGTCAAAGTTTCCTCAGTGCAAAGTCCGTGACAGGAAAACAGTGACGTGCGTGGAGATTCAGCCAGATTTTTGTTGTTACAGCCTGGAGAATCAAGAGTTCACACCATTTTTTAGATATATTCATATGTATCTTATACAAGTTCATATACTTATGGCTCTAGCTCTCTCGTTAGTTCTCTCACGTCGCGTCGGTCTACGCATGTAAACACTGCCAAACAACTGAAGAAAGTGATGGATTCGTGCACGGTTGTCACCTGGCGGCAGTACACAGTGATACGAACGGAGAGAAAATAGTGCCAAGTGATAATGAGGTCTGACTTTTTTGAGGACAATGGTTTTGTGATGCAAATGTATCACTCTTTTGAACACAGATTGTTTTGAGAAGAAAAACACTTCATTATACAGTCCCCAGCCAACTTGCCGGACTACTTTCATCAGCACCGAAAACGGCCAATAGGCGAGTTTCAGCTGACGTCATTGTTATTAAAAGCCCGCATTGCATGCTGGTAAATATTTTGGTCGGAGGCAAGAAACACGGTAGCGTCAAACACAGTGTGTAACCTCGCATATTTATCCTTGATAATGGTAAATTCCTGCTGCATTATCGGATGCACAAATAGAAGCACGGAAGAAGGAAAATGTCTTTTTCGTATTCTGAAAAGAACCACTAACGGTGAATTAAACGGCTTTCAAACATTCGCAGAGCAAACGTAGAAGATCCTAACAAACCGTGGACTCCAACAAGTTCAACAACACATCGAGACTCTTGGAGGTTTTCATCTTTTCTGCTGTGAATGGCCCAGGAGTTTCCACCAAGTCATTGTGTATATTGCCAAAGTGAATATTTGTCCAGGTAGTTGGCGATTCCGACCAGAAAATTGGTTTGGTCCACCTTTTGTCGGGGTTGAAAAGGGTGATTTGTCGTCCGTCGATGTTTATGACCAATTTCTGGTCAAATGGTCTTGGGTCCTCTGCTGTTAGAGTGGAGAAATAACCAGGATCAATACCCTTTACGTGCTTTCTCGCTCCGTCCATCATGTTGAATTAGTGTTTCTTGCCGGCGAACAAAATAATTCCCAGCATGCAACTCGCTCTTTTGTCAACAATGAAACTCGCCTATATCTCGGTTCACCGGACGCTGTCGGGGGTAAGTCAGTGTGGATGCACGACACTGCTCACGGGGATGACACACAGATTCATGTCAAAAATCCCAAACTATCCCTTTATTAATAATGCAGATCTCATCACTGTATTTTTTCTTAAACTTTAAGGTAATTTAGCCTATTTTAGATGTGTCCCAGAAATATAACCCTTTTGTTTTGCAAAAGTTAAACATAAGTTTTCGTTTTTAGCCTTAAGTTTTGGATGAGAATTATTAGAATAACTTGGTCTCAAAATCGAACAGTTTAATTACTCGTGCGTAGTCTTTGTTATTGATCTGTTGTTAGTGTAGCAGAGGGGGGCTATAAAGGGGATGCCCACTTTTATTTATTAATTATAACACAGGTAAGTCTGGCTAAAACATAGGACAAAGGCATAAAATGTTGGAAAAATATACAATTCTTTATTTTAGTTAATATTAAAAGAGCTCATTTTACACATTTTTAAAAAGGTACACATTTAACAACAATTTGGGAGCTACAATCTGGGACACGACTAAAACCAAATCACACAAATAATATTAGTAATGCAAAAAAAAGAAAGATTAATCAAACCAAGGTAAAGAGTTGAATCCCAGGTTTCAGGAACCAAAGTGCTAATGCAGTGCAAATCTGTTTATACATAAAAAAAAAGGTGCTACATTATTTTCTTTTAGATGTAAAGTACGAGGTGCTGTTAGATTGCACTATCCACTATTGCACAAACCACCCCAGCCGATAAATACACTATAGCAACTACACTAACTACAGATAAAAGGAACTACTGAATCAGACTTTACGAGAGAATTTAAGAGACAATTTCACGAGAATCTGAGAGCAGAAACCAACAGCGCAAGAGTAATCTGCCACACAGAGATACACCGATGACCACACGCCATCAAACGCCACCACCCCCAACATAAACATGCACCACCCAGAGCCTCCACCTGGATTCTAGAATAGTCAGTGTTGGGAAGGTGACTTTTAAAATATATTCCCCTACAGATTACAGATTACATACACCAAAATGTAGTTTGTAACAGAATCCATTAAATTACTTGAGGTGAGTAACGTAATCTGAATACTTTGGATTACTTAATTTGCTGTAGAGAAGCAAAGACGAGGAAATCGTAACATAAGATGTTTTATCTGCTAAAAGAAAATAAAAAACCCAGACTTTACTGAACCAAATTAAAAATATTATTGATAGAAGAGGAAGAGACACGGTCCACGCAGCAGGATTTAGTCCTGTTAAATCCTGGTTTAGTCCTGTTTAAGACCTGGTTTAGACCTGGTTTGGACCTGGTTTGGACCTGGTTTTAGACCTGGTTTAGACCTGGTTTGGACCTGGTTTTAGACCTGGTTTAGACCTGGTTTGGGCCTGGTTTGGACCTGGTTTTAGATCTGGTTTAGACCTGGCTTTAGACCTGGTTTTAGACCTGGTTTTAGACCTGGTTTAGACCTGGTTTAGACCTGGTTTGGACCTGGTTTGGACCTGGTTTAGTGTCCGGCAATGAGTGGAATTACCAAAAAAAAAAAAAAGTGATATAGCCCAAAATGTGAAAACAGGAAAATACCATTGTGTAATACATTTATTTCCACAAAGTAACTGTAATCTAATTACCACTAACTGAAACAGTAACTGTAACTGAATACAGTTACTCATAATTTGTACTCTGATTATGTAACTCTGGTACATGTAATCTGTTACATGTAGGTGTACTCTCCATGGGGTCGGGAGCGCGTTAGGAGCGGCCAACGTCTCCTCCTGCTCCACACAACACCTTTAAATGTAATCACCAGAAACAAGGCATTAAAACAAGTTCTAAGAGAAACACTGAAGGAACAACTCCAGTACTTACACACGCCGCGTTCACAAGTCACCGAAAGCCCCGACCGCCACACTATGGCGTGAGCAACCTTTTCTAATCGCTAATCAGGTGCACAGGTGGACGCATTCACCGACGCACTACAGTCAGAATAGTTCAAACACCTGGTTACATTGGCATTAGCGCTAACAGCGGGTCTCGGGTCCTGGGCGACAGGAGCGGCTCCGTAGGCTGCACCTGTCCCATTTCGGCAACAGTCTTGGGGTCTGTGGAGGCTATAGCAGTGCAGCCTTCACTGCGGCGGACGACCCTGGAGATGACGGGGTCCTGACGTCATTGTTTTCAAAAACTGCGGTTTATTTGTCCACACGACAACGCGACGCTGGTGTTCTCAGATTTCTCCACTCTGGAACCCGTTCTCAAAACACTCAGTTTTGCCCACCCGAAACGCCGGCTCCGTGTGGACGAAAGGTCAAAACGAAAACTTCTCAGTTTCCACCAAAAAACATTATCCTGTGGACAGGCCCTTAGACCAACGGCTGTAAACAGTTTCCAAAGTGCATCTCACATCAACAGGGTACAGGCACATGTGCCTCCCTTTTCTCTCCATGTGTCTTTGTGTGAATGAAAGTGATTTGTACCTGAGAGTAGATCAGTCATTAACATGTGTAAAGGCTCAGCAGACACAACTGTCCCACCCTCAGGAAGTCCTTTGTTGTTCTACCTGCAGTGTTGG